AGAGCTCATGACTGAGGGTGTTTCAAGAGCCCGTACTCCGTCTGTCTTTATAAACAATAATAGGAATCAGAAATAAGTGGAATCAAACTTATTACATATGTTCAGTTACTACAGCGGTTCTCTGTGAAAAAAATGATGATCAAAGCAGGCTCAGAACAGGCCGAATTCCTGTTTCCCATTTCGAGCAGTCTTTTCTTAGCATAGCCTTCGAATTTTACGGTTTTTAACTGTTTCAATGGATCCTTTTAAGGTTAAATCGTTCGCAAAAGTATAAACCTGCCTTTTAGTAAAAATTAAAGACGATCGTTCTTGTTGGTCGAATTCGCAGGTGAACATAGTGGTCAAAGACGAGGACATCCACAACGTGGTTTTCCGACAAACCGGCTATTTGTTCAGTCCCGTTTGTTCTCATGAACTCACTTTAGTAATGTTTCGGTTTTGTTGTTTTTTGTTTCATTTTGTTTAATTCACGCTTTAGAAATTCGTCTCAGAAGCCGATGCTAATCGCTCTGAGATGCTACATTTAAGGCCTGGAAATAACTCGCTTTGTTTGCCGTTGGCAGGTATTTGAATAATTGAACTATGGTCGTTTGAGCTACATGTAAACACGTAATATTCGTTTTTAGACAAATTCAATTTCGTCATCGAGTCTTGTCACCTCTTTGGAAACACGTCGTATACTTACTTTCCAAACGATGTTCCACCCGTCTTCACTGCCCTTGAACATCAAATCAGCTTCCACGTCGTTGCGGAGAAAATGACCCAGCATTTGGTTGTTCATTTGAGGTAAATGAAAAATGATGAGAGTAAATATACAACCAGACCACAGCTTACGTAACAGTTGCGTTCTGCAAACATCTTCTCAGCACGAGTTTCACTTAAGTGAATTTACACACCCCACTCGTTAAACATACCCTGCTGCTTACGTGTTTACAGTACATGGATACGGTAGTACGTTAATATGCTTTCATGGTTATTTCTGTTAGTTTCATTCACAAGATGCATGCACCCAACTTAGATATAAAAGTATTAATATTAATGCAGTGTAATATGATACAGTGTAAACAGTCAAAAGAATATATAAGCTCTTTATGCTGTAGATGATATTGTGTTTCGTGGCAAATCACAGACGGGATAATAGCGCATAAAAGTTTTAATCAGAAACATACAAAATTAATGACTCTGCAGATTAACTAAGTCTGTCTTTGGAGTCATAACATTTAAGTATTGCGGTTCACTCCAAGTCACAAATTCCGCGATTCTGCTGTATTACTACTAAGCGTATCCCTATGCCTAAGCTTCGTCATTGTTACCTACTTGTTTAAATTTGCATCAGTTACCTGCTTGTCGACTTTACGTAGGCTGGAACTTAAGTAGTAAACTGTAAAAACCACACAACATCCTGGAATGAACAGCAAATGCATTGGAGTAGATTTACGTTAGGACTCTAGGTGTTACAGAAAAAGCACGGTAATGGTCCAGTGAAGGGCCCCCGATTGGCGTAGCCGATCTATAAGGTTTATGATGTATAGATCATAGTGTGGCTATTCAGTGTGTTAATCTGATCATCCGTTTATGCTGAAACACCGATGGTTTATAGTGGTTGTCAGGAAGTGTGTCTGCTGTCTGCTGACGGTTTATTCTCTCAACGTCTTCGAATTTTTAATCATGCGGAAATGCTGACGAAAAATACACACACAGGTCATGCACATTATTTCTTTGTTTTCTGCAACGCCGAACTGAGCCTTTTATATCACTCCCGTTTCTTTAGCATAGCACCGTAAAATCTACTTCATGGAGATATGCGTTCTATAAATTATCCCTTTTGTGAACCCATATTTTTGGCTTTGCTTCGAGAGCGTATGCGAAGTACCGACTCCTGAATTATTTCTCAGTCAAATCAGATATTTTTCTGGCGAATAATTCTGTGGGTTGCACCTGTCCTGAGCACTGTAGCTTTTCATTTGTCATGAATCACTTCTTGTTCGAGTGACACATATGCATTTAGGCAAGTGGATGATCGAGGTTGCTCAGTCGGTATAGTAAACGACTATGAATCGATAGTTCACGGCTTCTAACCGCGGCAGGATCACTCGTGTTTCTTCCTTGAGAGGTTTATAAATGACCACCACTTTGTGAGAAGGAAACAGGGTGCTAATAGTATGCGTAGCTCACGTGGCTGTCGACTCAGCCTTTTAATGAAAGCACTTCTGAATGTTAACATAGAAATGGATGTCAGCTCCGCGCTATAAACTTCATAAAAAGAAGGGCGTTACAAATGGCATTTAATCTTGTAAGTGTAAGGGATTATAACATCCCAGCGGTTAGAAACTTATCTTTTTTTCTAACCTAGGGAATAGTGGCAAAAGGCAGTTTCAACGAAGGTCGTTTTACTTGGTCGGTCAGACCGATTTTGGGGCTCTACGCATTAACTTGCTCAAGCCGTAGGTGCCAGTATTGCTAACACATGTTTTTCGACTTGAGCCTTTTTATTCAAATAGCGTTTCCACAACAGGCTATTTCGAAATACAGTTATGCCGTAGTTGTCCATACCCACAAAGCTTTGGCAAATGGGGAGGAAATTTGTTATAAGTCAGTACAATAGTACATATGCTATAGATATACACTGCGATTAAAACTCTTTATGCATAAAAGAAACACCGATCTTATCTATTTACTAGCATACTGCTAGTTTTCGATACCGCCGTTAAGAAAAGGAGCGTGTCTTTTACCATGAGATTTACGTACCATACAGGCACCGTCCTCTTGTTTCTAGCGACCAAGAGGGTCATTTAAGCAGGTCAGGCTCCATGGTATTTGAGCATCTGCAGTGCATGGATACAAAACCGCATCAGTGTGCACGGCCAAACAAAACTTGATCGGACACCTGCTGATATGCCGCTGTCTGTAGACGTATTTATACGTAAAAATAAACACCGATCTTGTTGGTTCACTCACATATTCTAAGCCCTTTATTCTTCCAACCATTGTATCAAGCGTTTTCTACATTTTTTTGAGTTTTTTCTGCGTTTTCAGCTGGTCGAGCTTGCGCAGGCCTTTTGCGTTTACGTTCACTGTTGTTGCCAGATAGGAACGAATCATCAGTTCCATCGTATGCTTTATCCTATCAATCCATCTTT